TGCGCAGCGCCAGCTGCCGGACGGCGGGGAACTTGTCGGGACAGAGAGCCGCGGCCAGCCCGCGCTCGCCCAGTCCCGGATTGTCCGACAGGTCTAGGGTGGTGAGGGCGGGGAAGGCGCGGAGGCCCGCGCAGGAAAGGGGGAGCGGGTGTGCGTGCGCGATGTTCAGGGCTTTGAGGCCCGGCCTGAGCCACTGCTGCAGTTCCGCGAGCCAGGCGCTGCCTGTTGCCCACGACACGTTTCGGAGACTGAGGGTGGAAAGCGCAGGTCCGGTGGCTTCCAGAGGGGGCGGCGGCGCCGTGCCGGTCACTTCCAAGTCCTCGAGCGTGAGTTGGTTGAGACGCGAGGACCCGAGCCCACGCAGGAGGGCGGCCAGCAGCACAGCAGGAACCTGGGCGGCACCCACCGTGAGTCGCCGCAAACGCAGCGCCTTCACCAGGTCAGCATACTGCTTGGGGTCGGTGTTGGCGAACTGTGTAAATTCCTTCAGGCTGCGGCCGCCGCCGCGGATCTCCACCTCGACGGCACTCACACACTGCAAGGCACTGGACCATTCGGGCTCGGGATCCGTGAAGTTGCAGACGCAGAGGAAATCCTCATCGTCCACCTCGCAGGGCTCTGGGGCGGTCGCACAGACCTGGAGCAGCGGCAGCAGCAGCAGCAGGCAGGGCGCTCGCACCTGGGAAGAGAGCGGAGGTCAGGGTGGCCCCAGCGGGCCCCTGGGACTTCAGGAGTAGCCCCCGTTCGCCCCAATACCACCTACCCTCACCATGGTCGATAGGTCCTCAGAGCCTCTGCGTCCTTGGTGGACGCTGGGAAGGGCTTCAGCTCCTTTCCTGCGTAGCTGCACCCGCTGGCTTCCAGGCTCCACACACTCTTTGGCAGCTTCTGAGAGTTTATGTAACCCCAGGAATGTCACTCTGTTCCCTCCTCTGTGAACTCTGGTCACTCCCCACCTCTCATCACTACATTCATCATGCTTCGGGGAAATTTTGCAATGATGTTGCTAGAAGGAATGGCATTAACAGGAAGCATCCTGCGGGGACCTCTAGTGTGCTCTGCCTCAGGCATTGTCTAGATGATTCAGGAGCCCCAGGCTTGTGTGGTGGGTATGGAGAAAGGCAGATCCCCAGTGCCTCCCACCAGGACTCTTGCCTCCTCCCCCGCCTATATCCCGGCGACTCAACCTGGGTAGTTCTCTTGACTTTTCCCTAGTCTTGGTGGTTAATATTAACCTCCCATCACCTAAGTCTCATGCCCTGAATAATATCCTCTGATATTTAGCTGGATACAGTATTTTGTGGAAGAGATTGCACACATCATCTATTGACTTGAAGGGCTCGAATTAAGTTCAAGAGAAGGAAGTTGACGTGAAGAACAGCTCTCCTCCCCCCTCTCCCTTTTTTTTCCTGACTTGCTCTTTGTCTAATTTTGTTGATTAAGGAAGTTACAGCTTTCGCCCTAACTGGTTTGTCTCAGTGGTTGGAGCGTTGTCCTGTGGACTGAAGGGTCGAGGGTTCGATTCCAGTCAAGGGCAGGTACCTCGGTTGCAGGCTAGATCCCCATCCCAGTAGGAACTGGTGCAGGAGGCAACCATTCCATGTGTCTCTCACAATGATGTTTCTCTCCCTCTGTCTCTCTCTCCCCCTCCCTTCCACTCTCTCTAAAAAAAAAACAATCAATGGAAAAAATATCCTCAGTTGAGGATTAAAAAAAAAAAAAAAAGGAAGGAAGAAAGAAAGTTACAGCTTTTGAGCCCTGGCTGGGTAGTTCAGTTGGTTAGAGTGTGGTCTGGATAGGCCAGGGTTGTAGGGGGATGGTCAGGACACAGACATGAATCCACCAATGAATGCATAAATAAGTGGAACAACAAATCAATGTTTCTTTCTCTCTCAAATCAGTTGTGTGTTTTTTTTAAATACTCAGAAACCGAAGCATATACCTTCTTTTTTATAGGCAAAAGGAAAGAAACCATTATTTGTACAGTTGATCCTGGAAAATGTATGGAGTTCGTATGATGCTGTCTTTTAAACGCCATCTTTTAAAGGTTAATTGAAAGTAATAGCTTTCTTAAGTAGAGGTGTTTAACAGAAACACATTGGCCAGGCCACCCTTTCCCTTGCTGTTTTCATTTCCCCATCCGGAAACTAACAAGCTACATATTTGTAACACAGTTTTCCCTTTCACTTGCTCCTCATCCTGCCTTGCCCTCCCCCAGCACAATTCCTGTGGCCTAGGAGACAAGGGCTGGACCTATGTTGCATAAGGATTAGTTAGTAACTCACTTATTTTGACAAGAAAAAAGCAAGTGTCCCAGAGGGTGGGGTTTATCCTTTGACAAGAAAACAAATTCTGATATGTTCTAAATAAAATTACAGCGGCCACAGAGTGACAGAAAGAGACGGACAGTTAACCAGTTCATAGCTGTGGACCAACTAACAAAAGGCTGCTCAAATTCCTGAACGTATGTTGGAGCTTTGAATGAACCTCCAGGAGTTTATCCAACCACAGACCATCACATCCTGCATACACATGAACATTCAGGACTTTGTCTGTAACCAACCAAAAGTAGTAAATATTTTGCCTTGGCCGGAGCTTCATTCTGTACACCAAAGGTTACAGGCTTGATTCCCACTCAGGACACATGCCTAGGTTGTGGGTTTGATCCTTGGCCGAGGCTTTTGGGAAAGGCAACCTGATCGATGTTTCTCTCTCACATCAATGTTTCTCTCTCTCGCTCCCCTTCCTTTCTCTCTAAAAATCCGTAAAAACATTCTCAGGTGAGGATTTTTTTTAAGTAGTAAATATTTCTTCTTTACAGACTGTGCAACTATCATAGAACTGTCTCCATTTCACTTTTCTCACCTCCCCTCATCTGTAAGCAATGTAAATTCTTTTAAAGAACTTACCTCTTTCATCCACAAAACAATGTATAAAAGAGCCTGTCAACCCCAGGATAGTGGACTTGTTGCCTTCTCCACATAGCCATGGTGGTTTAGACGTCATTCCCCAAGACTTGGTCCTTTTCTGGCTACCATATGGCTCAAAAAACCCTTTATTTTAAAAAAATCTTTCAGCCATGGAAGTTTTTTGATCACTTTTACATGGTCCTCACAGTTCTGCACCTCTGGATTTCTGGGTATAGAGCTTACTTGAAAAAAGTTTGAATTCCTCTATTTTCCAGAAGTAGCTCCACATCTGTCCCCAATCCGAACAAGGAGGCCTCATTCCCCTCTGTGTGTCCTGTTGGAAATGCTCTGATACCCTGAGCCATGTCCAAGGTCAGGCCAGGTTGTGGTAGGCAGTTAGAGAGATGTGAGCAGAGCAAGGACGATGGGCCAGGTACAGAAGGTCACCAGGGTGGAAAGCCTCAGGTGCCTACCCAAGGACAGTTGTAGGTGGGACCTCGTGCCCAGGGTGACCTTTCCTCCCTTAGAATATCGATGGCCCTGCAGTTTGGACTCCCTGACCTTTCCTCCCTAGAGATAAAATGTAGGCCTCAGTTGTAGTTCAGCCCCAGACAGCAAAACCAGACAAGCAATGCCATGACCAGCTGCATTGAATAATGACCCGCTGCCCGGGTGCTGACCAATCAATCAGTGGAGACCTAGACCCTGAAAGGACACACCTGGAAAACTGCTGAATATTCTATTGAGATCGTGCCCTGGGACCTCCCCTAAAATCTCCATCCTTAAACCAATTAGGACAGAGGACCCAGTGAGCTCTCCCTCCAGGGACCAGGGGCATCTTTCCCTTCCCCTTCCCCTTCCCCTTCCCC